CCCATAAAGCCCAATTCTGCCTGCCCCACTGTGAGTCCTGGGAAATCTCCAACTGAGTTGGCTGGCTTCACTGTCAAATGCCTTCTCAGTTCCTCCTTCAAGTGTTTAGGAACAAGCAGGACAGGAGACTGTGAGGCCCTAGAGCATTGCCCTTAGGTAAAGTCTGGTAGAGTTGGCCTTCACCAGAGCCAACAAAGTTGAGTTGAAGCCAGCTGAGGCCACTAACATCCTCCTTCTCTTCCTTAGCCTGTAGTGCCCCATCACCATACCTCTTACCCACACTTCTGCCTGCTGCTACCAACAAGAGTCATCCTGCCTCAGTGTCATAAGCATTGGTGATGCACACATGAGCAACATCTTCAGGCCCACAGAAAGACCCAAAGCCAGGAGCATTCACAGGCACCTTATCAAGCATATCAGATGAGGACTCCAGTGGTCAAGAAGAGGAAGAAAGTCAGAGAACACTGAAGCTTTGCCAGACACTGCTAAGTTGCCCAGACACCTTCTGGACTAGAAAATGGCTTTGCTGGAAACTACCTACTGCTCAGTTATTAAATGAAAGAGCAAATTACAAAGTCATACATGATGAAGAATGTCATAAAAGAGGATAAGGAACACTTTCTGAGATCCTCAGGAGAGCCTCTGAGTACATGTAGCTAGTTGCTGGTGTTGATGTGAAGGAAGTGGACCACTCCTATACCCTTGTTAGAAAACAGGACCTCACTTAAGATAAGAGATTGAGTTATGAAAAGGGCATGCACAACATCAGCCTCCTGATGACTGTCCTGGGCCTGATATTCACAAAGGGCAATTGTATCAGCAAGGAGATGGTCTGGGAAGAGCTGAATATAATGGATGCAAATTCTGGGGAAAGGTACTTCATCTTTGTGGATCCCATGAAGCTCATTACCAGTGATTTCGTGCAGCTAAAGTACCAGGAATACCCGCAGGTGCCCAACAGTGATCTTCCATGCTTTGAATTCCTGTGGGACAAAAAAGCCCACGCTGAAACCAGCAAGAAGGAAGTCCTGGAAGTTTTGACCAAGGTCAATGGTACCATTCCCAGTGCCTTTCCACCCCATTATGAAGAGGCTTTGAGAGATGAGGAAGAGAAAGGCAGAGCCACAGCTGCAGCCAGGGCTGCCACTCCTGCTAAGGCCAGCGCGCACTCTAGGATCATGGCCAGCAGCTTCTCTCATGGCTAGCGAAGTCTGAGGAAGAGTCTTCATTTTGTGTTCAAAGTGGCAGTGTTATAAGCAGTAGAGGGTCAGGGTGGGAATAAAGGGTAGACAGTGTGTGTCTTTTTTGTTTTCCTGCTCTATACGAATAACTTGTAGGTTTGTTTATTGGTATTTATCAAATGTTGTTCCTTTTAATGAAAGATTTATTTAGCTGTAGAATCTAAATTTTTACATAACGTGGGTCTCACATTTATTGCTGTTTATCAGGTTTAAGAATAAAAGTTTTGGGGGCCGGCCTGGTGGTGCAGCAGTTAAGTTTGCACGTTCTGCTTCAGTGGCCCGGGGTTTGCCAGTTTGGATCCCGGGTGCAGGTATTGCACCGCTTGGCAAGCCATGCTGTGGTAGCCGTCCCACATATAAAAAGTAGAGGAAAAAAGAGTAGAGGAAGATGGGCACAGATGATAACTCAGGGCCAGTCTTCCTCAGCAAAAAAAAGAAAAAGAAAGAAAGAAAGAAAAGAATAAAAGTTTTGGTATTTAGTAAAACAAATTAAAAATCCTTGAAATCTTTTTTCTGTTATCCATACAAGATAACTATCGGTTAGATAAGGAAAACATCTATTCTTATTCAATATTGGAAATGTGAAAGAACTTCACATTAAGAAGTTGGGATCATGAGAAAAAAATAAAAAGGCAAGAGGTGGTCAATTCGTGGTTTGCCTTATTCCTTTTAGTCCTTGTTTTTGTAAAATTAAAAGATATATATGTGGATTTGCTTGACTTATTCAAGAATATAGGATAAATTATTTGTAACAATTTTGACTTCTTGTTCACTGGCTCTATAATTCCCACAATATTAATCAAACATCTGCTCTTTGAAAGGCTCCATGCTAGTACTGGGGATGGAAAGAAAAAAAAAAAGACTGAGCCACTGCCCATAGAATTTTAGTGGTTAGGAGCAGCTATCATATTATAAAATGATGATATTATCTCTCAGACCTAAAGGACAGACAAAAAATGGTAGTAAGAAGAGGGAGTTCCAAAAGAGAGTTTAAATGTAAATTTCCTGAAGCAAGACAGTGTTGGGCCTCAGGAAACTGCAAATTCCTTGTTGGGAAGTAATTCTAAGTTAGCTACATAGTGGGCTAGCTGAGGCTGTGATCATCTTGAGCTGTGGCCAGACCCTCAGATGTGGGCCTCAAAACTGGAAGACTAAGCCTGGAATGAGAAACTGCTCTTAACAGCTACTTTGGGATTGTGAGTAAACAGAGAGAATCTCCACCTGGGGCATGGATGGAATGTGTCCTGTGCTCTTGCTCCAGTGCAGGTGAATACAGTGTGCAAGTTAGACGTTTTATTCACATCTCTCTGGGGAGTTTCTGAGAAATAAGGGTGATTCTCCTTTGAGGTGAGATGTTAAGAAACCACTAGGCACTCTTTGCACTGGGCTGGGAAGGTCAGAGCCTGGTCCATCAAAAGGTCATTCGAATTAAGTTATCCTGTGTATAATTTGATGAACTCTAAGAGGGTTCTAGGTTTTTGGCGCTGGCTAAATGAATGATAACAAGAGTGATTCAGAAGGAAGGGCTGGTGGGAGGGAGGGAAGTTGCTGATCCTTTAGACAAATTTTGGGAGCTTTGTGTTGCACCTAACTGGAGAAGTGTACCTTACACCCAAGTTATCATATGATAGGGAAATATTACTTAGTTTTCCTTGCTAATCAGTATTTTGGCTGATGGGTTTTCTTTGTTCTAGAATGCTACATATTCGTTGACTTTGATGGATTGAAAAAAAAAAAAATCTCGGCAGGGTGGGTGGTATCATTGGGGTTCAAATTAATCATATAATAAATGCTATGTTGAAATCTCAATATAGGCTAGGCACTCTGCCAGGCTCTTAACACATATTAACCACATTCTACCAGTCCTACAAGACAGAGCTTATCAAACCCACTTCATAGATGCAGAGCCTGATGCTCGTGAAGTTTAGTAGCATGCTCAAATTCACAGCCTGTTGGGGGACAGGGTTGAAACTGGATCCCTGGTCTGGATTAGTCTAGAGCCCACACCATTCCAATTCCCCCAGCCTGAGGCCCTCCTTGCATTTCTTACTTCAATTTTCCTCTTTCTTCTTAAAAATGCTTCTCAGGCAATAAAAAGAAAGAAACTATACTACTACTGGCTTGGAATAGATTCCCAGAGCAATATGAACACCAAAATAAATGAAAGGCATAAACAAAGAAAAGAAAGCTAATACTGGGTGACAGTATGATCATCTACATATGCAATATCAGATAACCTCAAAAGATCAGGGGCTCACAATATCATCCTGGACAGCCCCTTCCCTGTAAAATATAAACCTATCAGAACAGAATTTAGGTGAGACTCTAAGTCTGGCTGGTGAAGAGAAGGAAAATATCAGCATATTTTTTTCCCTTGACAGCACACTGCCTGTCCTGGGACTCCTGACTTACGCTTCAGCTTCATCATCTCACATCACTTCTAGGACAGGGACCAGGGTTTGCAGTGAGGAAACTGCTCAGGTGTTTGGAAGGATGTGGCATTTTCCTAGAAGCCTTTAATCCAAGAGGCAGGAGCCAGGAGGAAGACCCCAGTGTTAGAGGGCTTGGGAGACCAACACCTCATAATATAGGAGGTCACACATAGATAAGCTTCCACCTGCTCTCAGACTTAGAGGGCCCATACAGAGCTGTCAGGCTGAACATGGCCTCACTTATTCTTCAGGTCTCTCAGGGACTTAAGACCCTTGGCCTAAGAAGGACAACCTTAGGTCAGTAGAAGGAGGAGTCCCAGCCTTTGACAGATATGAAGGTGAGGACCCTAAATGAGGAATCATGGAAGGACCCAGCCAGAATAGTAGGTTTCCATACAGTCTGGCTCAGGCTGTCAACCCTTGGAGATCCAAAACAGTCCTGGCTGGATGTAGCTCATCTTGACTTCCAATTGGGATTTGGAGGTCCCCAGAAGGTAAGTACCTTGATTTAATGAGAGCAGCCTCAGATCAGCAGAAAGTGGAGTCCCAAGACTGGTCAAGTGTCAAGGTGAGGACTCTAAATAAGAATGAGGGAACCACCCACCCCAGAGCAGAGTAGCACTACAAATTCCCCCAATGCTGTCAGCCCCGGGATGCTCAGGACAGATTTGCAAGGTGGAGGAACCCTCTAAATCTTCCTGGACTGTCTCATGGAGGTGAGGACCTTGGACTAGTGGGTACAGCCCCAAATCTGCAGAGAGAGAAAACTCATGCCTTAACAAGAGTTAAGGTAAGGACCCTGAGTATTATGAGGGGACCTCCACTAGTAGAGGGGATCAAACAGAGCCCTATCCTTTTCTTAGCTCTGGGAGGCCCATGAAGAGCTATCATTGACTCCATCTGTGTGGTCTCAGGGAGGAAAGGCCCTTTGTCTGAAGGAGGCAGCCACAGCTCTGCAGGTTTGAGTCTTGGCCTTAAGCAAAGTTAAGATGAGGACCATGAGTGCTGATGAGGGGACCACTCCCTAACGAAAGGACCTCCCAGAGCCCTGTCCCCCCTGTCAGGTTTGTGAAGCCCAGAAAGGAGTAGCCATATGAAGCACAACCAAAGATTTTCTCTAGGGACTAAGGAAGGCGAGGGTTTTGTTTGAGAGCTGGCGGACTCGGGTCAGCAGTGGGAGAAGTCCCGGGTTCTGAAGATACCGAGATGAGAACCCCGAGTGAGGCCCAGAGACATCCGACTCCTAAATGACAAGGTCCCACAGAGCACCGTCCCTGCTGTCGGCCCTCGCGGACCCCCCCAGGCAGCCGTGGCCGGATGTGTCTCAGCCTGACTTCCGTTTAGTCGCAGAGGCGAGGACGTCACCGGTGGGCGCGGCGGTTTTTTGGCTTTTTGGCGGAGGTTGTACTCCCAGGACTTGTCTGGAGTCAAGGTGAGGACTCCGAGTAGGAAATGAAGATAACTATTCTCCTACCAAAACAACGGCGAATTCCGCCCCCACTCCAAACCCCACCTCTGCCGTCCGGCTCTGGGAGGCCCCAGAGGAGTTGTCAGGCTGACTTTGGCCTGGAATGTCTCAGAGGGAAGGCGTTAGTCTATGGGAGTAGCCCCGATTCTACAGATGGAGGATACATAGGCCCTAACTGGGTTCCAGATGAGGGCCCTGAGTGCTAATGAGCAGACCTCTGCCCAAAAAGGGGGACCACACTGAGCAGTGCTCCTGCACTCAGCCCTAGGAGGCCCCAGGCAAGGTAGACAGATGTGAAGAGACCTGACTTCCTCTCTAGCAACTAAGGGAGTTGAAGGCTACATCCGACAACTCCCAAAGTCAGCAAAGGAGGTTCCGGGCAGAACCGGCAGGCCGAGGCGCCCTCTCATTTGTTCTGGAGGTGGTCTTAGGGAGATGAGGGCCTTGGGACATGGAAGAGTCATCCCAACCCTTTGATCTCACCCCAAGAAACCTCAGGGAAGGGCTGTCAGGTTAAGCCTCCTCCTCACTTCCTTACACCATATCTAAGGGAGGTGAGATCCTTAGTCTGAAGGTGCAGCCACCACTCAGTGAAAGGGGAGTGGTGCTAAGCCTTACAGGAAGCCACGGCGAGGGCTCTGAATGAGGACTGAGGATTTCAATGAACTCAGGGCAGAAAGGACCCCACTGAGTTCTCAGCACTGGGTGTCCTCTGGTAGGGAGGTGGGCTGAGGCACCCCTTCAGTTCCTTTCCTGGGTCCTAGGGAACTTTGAGGTGTCAACTTCAGAGAAGCAGAGGGGAGGGGTCCAGGCTTTTCCCAAAGTTGATATGATAATACTGAAGATGAACTGAGAGGACTCCACAGGCCAGCACCTGCTGTCACTTGAGTAAACCCAAGGCAGGGCTGGTAGGATGCAGAGTAAGACTCACCCTAAGGGTTCTATGGTTCCTCTATGGGATTCTTAGGGGAGAGGCTGACCAGGAGAACAGGAGCCTTGTGGGTTCCTGGAGCAGTACCCTCAAGGAAAACTGCAGAGGCAGCCTTCAATAAAGCCAAGGTGAAACCTTCCTGTTGAAAGGACTAATATTATTTCATTCTCTGTCCTCCAGCTGCCCAAATCACCTGTCCACTGAGCCGCACTCCTGCCTGCTGTTCCTACAACAGCCATCATGCCTCGAGGTCAGAAGAGTAAGCTCCGTGCCCGTGAGAAACGCCGCCAGGCCCGGAGTGAGACCCAGGGTCCTGGGAGTGCTCAGGCCACTGCAGCAGAGGTCGAAGAGTCCTGCTCCTCTCCTGTTTCTGAGGGTACTCCCTCAAGCCCCCCTGCTGCTGGCACTCCTCAGGAGCCTCAGGGAGCCCCAGCCACTAGCTCTCCTGCTGCAGGTGTCTCACGCCCAAGATCTCACGTAGGTGCCAAGAGCCAAGTTGTGGAAAGTGAAAATTCCTCCCAGGCCTCAGCCTCCACTGAGAGTTCTCGCAAAGCTCTTCTAACCAGGAAGGCAGAGATGTTGGTGCAGTTCCTGCTGTATAAGTATAAAATGAAGGAGCCTATTAAGCAGGCACACATGCTGAAAGTTGTCAACAAAAGATACAGGGAGGATTTCCCTGAGATCCTCAAGAGAGCCTCTGAGCGCATAGAGCTGATCTTTGGCCTAGAATTGAAGGAAGTCAAGCCGAATAGTCAGTCCTATACTCTTGTCAGCAAGCTAGACCTCAGCAACGATGGAAGTCTGAGCAGTGGCTGGGGATTTCCTAAGAATGGGCTTCTGATGCCTCTCCTGGGTGTGATCTTCTTGAATGGCAACCGCACCTCGGAAGAGAAGATCTGGGAATTCCTGAATATGCTGGGTGTCTATGATGGAATGAATCACTTCATCTTCGGGGAGCCCAGGAAGCTCATCACCCAAGATTTGGTGCAGGAAAAGTATCTGGAGTATCGTCAGATGCCCGACAGTGATCCTCCATGCTACGAATTCCTGTGGGGTCCAAGAGCCCATGCTGAAACCAGCAAGATGGAAGTCCTAGAGTTTTTGCCAAAGTCAATGATACGGTTCCCAGTGCCTTTCTATCCCATTATGAAGAAGCTTTGAGAGATGAGGAAGAGAGGGCCCAAGCCAGAGCTGCAGCCAGAGCTGCCACTCCTGCCACGGCCAGTGCACGTTCCAGGGCCACATCCAGCCGCTACTCTGACCCCTAGTGAGGTCTGAGGCAGATTCTTCACTTTGTTGTTAACCAGTTTTCCTGATAAGCATGAATAACTCGTTGACATCTTTTTTTTCTGTTTCTCAAGTGGTGTTCAACAGAAAGTTTATTAGATTCAGAATGTAAGTTTATGAATGACATAGATCACACATTTATAGCTGTTTGTCAGGTTCCGGGGTAACGGTTTACTTAG